GAGAGAAATTTATTCAAATTAGAGAAAATGATAGTGATCGTTCGGATAAGCAAACGCATATTGTCATAATGATTCTATCCTCAATACTTACTTTAGATTTTATGTAACGAAAATAATTTACCTTTCATAATTTCCTTCGAGTTTCTAATTTAAAATCTTTTATTTCATTATGCATGAGAATATTAACTGTTATTTGTTAGTTAATATTGCAGAGATTTGGCTGATGAAATTTGAGATTTAGAATGATAAGACTTGATTTTTTACGATAATCAATTTAAAGTTTATATAGTGTTAAATCAGTTCTTTTACCTTTCCATGACTCCATTTATTAAAAATAAGAGAATATTGTAAGCTAGATTTTAACCACATAAGATTTTTGCAACACTTTAGAAAGGAGCAATGTAGTTCCGAAGTAAAATATTTATTTCATCATATATTTTTGCATAGCTTTGCATAGCATCTATTTATAATGATGAATAACTTAATTAAATTGGCAGCTGTCATTAATTAAATTAATATGGTACTGTTTTGCACATATTCATCATCATCATCTGTAATGTATGCATACTGTTTGCATGTATTGCGGTATTAATTCTAAAACTATCTGTCTTATAACTAGAACTATAAGTTATCTCATAAATTACATGAATAATATGTAACATTGTTTCATTTTGTTTGCAGTTATGTAATTTTTACCGAATGTTTTTTAAATAATATAGTTTTTTCTTTTTATCTTTCTCTTTTCCTTTAATTTGTCTATCTTTCGAAAAAGATGTGTTCATGTAATGAAAGCTGTTTATCTATTTTTCGAATTCATAACTTATTTTTTCTACCTTTATCATCCTTTCGTTTTCAGACTCTAATAGCTGTATTTTGTGTCCCTGTCAAAATAGTACTTTCGTCTTCTTCTAGTTGATGCGTATCACTTTAGCCTTCTCAAATTCATTCGGTGGTTTTTAATTCAGTGTTTTTTGCCTAAATTTTAGGAATATTTTAATGTGAAATGTTCATTACCTTTTATTTCAAATATTTCCTGTAATTTCTTCATAGTATTTTATTGTTTAGTTGGATTGAATAGAAAAATCACATGTGCTAATTTCCTTTATGATGAAATTATTAAATGAATTTAAAGAACATTGTGGGAATATAAAGTTCAAGGTAAGGTGATGGTTCTGTGCTTTCGATATTATTACACGTTTCTTTTCTTTCGCACTTTGTTTACTTTTGTTAAATGGTTTTTCTTCGAAAGAATGATTCATTTTAGCTTGGACATTATTTTCTTTTTTTCTGTTTTCTATTACTTTTCACCTCTCTTTTAACTGTTTTCGAAAATGTTGCTAACCTGTGGAAGCCATTAAATTTCATTATTTTTGGTTCCTTTCGTTAGCTTTCATACAATTATGTCTCACTGGTAACACTAGACAGACGAAAGAGGATGATAGAACAAGGAGTTGTTATTTTGAAATAAATAAATTCGGATGTTCAATTTCTCTTCCTTACATGCTTTTTTTTGCTTTTTGATTTCGCTTCTTAGCTCATTTATTCTCTTTGGATGAAATTGCACAGTTTGCTTAACAACAAAGAGATTTCAATACTTTTCTCTTACGTCTCTTTTGAAAAGCTTATTCCTTCAAATGATCATCTCATTTCAATTTCATCATAAAAATTAAACTTTACTTTATCATGCATAATGTGATATACTTTAAAGTGTTAATTAACCTTAATCATAGTCCTTTTCTAAGATGGAATTGAATTGATATTATCATAATTTTTTAAAAAATAGTACCAATTTTAGGAATATTCATATCAAAATTTCTATTATTGACAAATTTTAGCCACTGCAAGAACTTCAATATAAATTGATCAAATGTACCTTAGGTTTGAAATTGATAATTCCCCATTACACGGCATAATTAAAAGAATAGTGACTTGGATGTAGATATAGTTGTTGAAATCTAATTGCACGGATAATGGATACTCTCGTAATTGGAGACATTCAGCAACAACTTTCACTTTTTGAATTAAAATTCATTATGAATCATCCCTCGATTTAATGTTATGAATTTATGGTTATCATTATTAGCTATAATTCCCTTGATACCAGCTTATTCATTGTTAGTGTTTGTATTTTCTTCCTTCATTTTAACAGAAAACCATCATGGTTGATAGTGGTGTTGACGATTTTATAGTGTTTATAAATTATATATTTATTTTCTGTGCGTCAACTTCTACCGCTGCTAGTGATGATGATAAAGATGAGAACGATGATGATGATACTAGAAGGCTAACGGTGTTATTCATGATGGCACTGCTTAAAGCATTGGCAGTTGAACAATCTTTACTCAAACGAAGCTGATTCATGCAATTTTTTGTATCCCTTCATCTCTTTCAAAAATATTTTTAACTTAAAAAGGATTAAATATTTCACTTAAAAGAAAATACGTCTAAATTCACAATAAGCATCATTCCGAAATTGCTTTTGTATTTCTTTCAGTTAGTTTGAAATATTGTACTAAAATTTTACAAATCATTATATTCCCTAGCGATCCAGCAACCATCTGTAAACTGATCAACAAGTTCCCTGATGCAATTCTGAAGTTTATGGTTCTAAAATATTTCAAAAAAATCTAATTGATTTCTGTTACATTTATCTTATGTGATTTCTTTGGCAAACTAATCTTCTGCTGTTCTCATCTTCTTTTTCTCTCTACCTATTCGAACAGTGTATCATTTCTTGTCCATTTTGATCATTCCATAAAATGTAACATTCTTAATTTCATCTGTGACATTCGTATCAGTGAATTGTTTTTCTGAATTTTTAAAATCTGTTTGCGATTATTTAAAAATATAAAAGGAAAAAGGAAAAGCAATTTGTTTGCTATTATTAGAAGTGAACAATTTTTATCCTCTTTTTCATATCTTCCTAGAAATAATCCTTCATCTTCAAAAATATATTTCAGGAAATAAAACTTCCTTGATTGTTCTATTTTCGACTAATTTTCTCTGAATTTTTTTAAAATGATTTATGATTTTATTGCCTAACATATGCGTTAGTGTAATGTTTATAATCTTAGATGGCTTAATAGATCAGTGAATTAGATAGAGCAAATGACTAAGGGATGGTATTTTTAATTGTTGAGAAGAATTATGAATAAATGGAAATCTTCATTTACGTTATTTTTCGATGAATAGTATGCCAGAAAGTTTAGTAGCACTTTCCTCAGTTAAGATGAGTTTGTAGAGCTTGTATATATCCACACTGAAATTTCATTTTCATGAAATATAAATCTCTTCATTGTTCTTGAAAGATAATTACTTTTAATTAATTTCCAGTTATCTCAAAATCATTTTAATTTCAATGTTTCATTAAGAGTAATTTAAAACTTCGTGATACAAAAGTATTATCTCCTATGTCAGTGCATATTCAAATAGAAAATAAAGGAAAATTGAAGTGCAGTTTTCATTTGTAATGGAAAAGATAATAATTTTTTTTTGAAAGATAATTTACCTCTCTTTGTTTTGTAATGGAAAAGGCAAATGTTAAAGAAATTAAGCTTTTATTTTCTTCTCAGACTATAAACATGAGAATTGTTAAATCTTCATCTTTATTTTTTTGTTTAACTTTTAATTAGTTGAAGGTAAATGTCTCTGTTTTTGCGGTGAATTTCTTTGAAAAGCATTTCCATTTTCTTTTCATTTTTATTTCACTAAATTCCTTAACAAATTTCGATGAATCTTTTTTTAAATTGTTATTTTACTCGTGACTTTAATGGTTTTTATTAAAAATTAATGTTTGTTAATTTTAATAACTTCATTAAGTTTTTTATCAATGAAGATAATCCATTCCCTCATTCTGCTACAATTGACCATTACAAAGTTGCACTGTATTTATAATGTTAGAAAAGAATGGAATTGTTAACTAACAAGGATATCATGCAGATCGACAAGCTGCAACTTTGAACTAATAGTTTGAACTCTAGGAAATTTGACCAGTGATTTGGAGGAGTGTTATAAATTGACATAAGAGACACATTCTGAAGATCGAATACATGCGATCATCAGAGAGACTTGTATTCTTAATTAACAAGCGGTATTGATCTTCTTCTAGATCTGGAAACAGTAATGTGCCTTGGATTTTCTAACTGTGATAGGTATTAAGTATTACTCTGAAGTTGCTAGGCTATTTTTTATCTTTTTAAATATCCACTATGTAAATTTAGTAAATTTAGGATAGTGGAAATAGATATTTTACATTTTTTTAATATTTTTTATGATTCAAATTTATTTTTTCCACCAATTGACATTAAAAGTGGGTAGTTGTTACATATTGACTATATGGTGAAATTTGATATTTCATATCGGAAAATTAAGCTTGAGTAATTTGCCATTATACATGTTAACTACTACACACTTATAGTTTCATCGCCATCATCACCATCGCAGACTACAGCTGGAAGTACGACAGTTGAGACAGAAGAAATAATGCATCGACAAGAAACATCGAGAAGTCGAGGTAACACACAAAGTCGGAATTTACAATCACAACAGAATGGTAACAACAACGATGGTATGACAACACTTGTACGTGGAACAGTGGACGATGATCGAAGACGAAAACGTTTTCGTCAGCGTGTCAATAAGAAGAGTTTAATTGCTAGCACTGCAAGTAATAGTGGAAAGTTGGATACAAATAGTATGTGTTTACTTTAGTATTTTTTACATGCTGTTACTGTGTAACTTACTCTTTGTTATCTCTTTATTAACTGATAGATGATTTCGTTAAAGGCATTTATTAAAAAAGGCTTAAATTTTTCTTATATTTTTGATGTAAGAAACAATATCAAAATGAAGATTCCAATTTAATTTTTAATTTATATGCGCTCTTCTACAGCCTTTTATAAAATCTATGATACATTTTTTGCTAATTTTGATAAATAGGAATTATTAAAATTAGCTCGGGATTTCCTGGTAAATTAGAGGAAGTGTTCTTACAGCTGAATTATTATTTTCAATGGTATGGTTGATCATAACTAAATTCGGCTTAGCGTATGATTTTTGCAGACGAATTGATGCAGCAGGAACAGAAGCAACAGGAAACAACAGCTGTGGATGGAAAGATGACGAAAACACCGAATGATTTCAAGGATGCTTATTGGTTCGAAAATTTCTATTGTTTAGTTTTTGCTCTTTATGATGAATTAATATGTTTTTGTAATTATTTAATTTTCTGTTTCAGGTATTATGATCCAAAAACTGATGGTTTCTATTATGATTCGAAAGGTTCTCGTGGCTGGCGTCGGCGAAATCCCGCTCATGAAAAGAAACAACTTCAAGATAGAGTGATTTTTTATTATTAACACTCCAATCTTTTTCCGAAAGATTTAATTTCGCATCATAGAAAGAATGTCTAATGCAAATAATTTTATAAATGTGATAAATGTTAACTTCTAGGATGGATTATCATGCCTATGGCCTGACCCAAATCTTGTTTCATATGGTGGAAGCGATCCGTACGGATATCATTATAACAATATCAGTTATTTTTCTCCTCACATTCAGTAAGCTTTCTTTTTTGGCATTATTAATTAGAATTTTTAATGTAGTTAGCCAGAGCAGCGTACTAAACATTGTTCAATACATACTAAATCTGAAAAATTTTCAAATATACCAAGTATCATACAGAAGTAAGTAAGGTCTTTCCAGATATTATGATCCAGAAACTGATGGATACTATTTTGAAATGCCTTCTGTTGATGGTTGGAAGAAGCGGCAATCACACTCTATTAGCAACACCGTTATGCCATCACTAACAGGTTACAGCAGCAATAGAATGATAGTAAATTCAAATGCACTCCCTGCAATGTCGCAACCAAGCTTTATCGATGCGATGGATGTACCACGAACATCTTACGGTGCTGCTCTAGCTCGAGGGCAATTACCACCGTGCACTATTAGAACCAATAATGCTATTACGAGTACTTCCACAAATGTTAGTTTTCATCTTAATTCTAGGTTTATTCTTTTTCTTATTCTTAATATTCAAACTTTGGAAGCAGAATCTTGATTTGTGCTTTTCTTTTAAATCGTATTTTGTGCGATCAAAGATTGTTCATTGTTCATCTCAGTTTCCGTTAGATATACTAAAATAAAGCTTCTTTACAGATAAATGGAGTATTGAAGGACACTTTTTCCAGTGCTGAGTTACCATTTTCAACGCTCACATCAAACGATGGTTTTGGCGCTGCATCTTCAGTGGTATATGTTTGTATTTTATATCTTTTTGAAGGTTGTTGTGCGTATTTTTAGCCAAATTATATTTGACACACAAGATTTTAATTTCTTAAAGATTATGTAGTTTAATAGTATTCATATTTGATTAAGCAATCTCGCCAGTAAAACAAAAAATGGTGTGGGAAACCGCATTAATATTTGATTTTTTGTCATAAGTTTAAAATTTGATAAATAACGGAAATATTTCTTCATGAAAAATTAACCTTAATGCTTTGATTTGCCTCTTTTACATTTTATATTTATTGATGTTTATGTTGTTATAGATGTTATTGGACAAAACCTCAACAGAATGGGATAAAAAAGAGAGCAGCCAACAAAATTGCAATACACAAAGACCTTTTTCGTATGCACATATCGTGGCTTCATGTAATACCACTAATGTTGATGATATCGAGAACAGTCCTCCTCCTCTTCAACAGATCATGGTTAGTTTTTTCTTCTTGCTCTCCCATTTATCATTTTTAGCAGCTGCATTCAAATTTGTAATATTGTCCAAATGGCTTTTTATATGTGAATTTAATTTTTTCATGGATTCCTCTTTTTACGTAAAATACTGAAATAAATGATATTTTTATAGGACACTCATTATAAACGACCGGAAACATTGGAATTACACAGTTTTGCGGAAGAAAATGATATTGGAGGAGCAACAAATGAACACGATACAAAACGATCTGGACTGACTAACTTTAATGCGGACAAATTTATCGCTGACCTTCCGTTCAAGTAAATTTTTTTACTTGAATAGGGTAAATTTGGTCATATTATAAAGAAAGCTTTAAAGGAATAGACAAATATTTAAAAAAATATTTTTTACTTTTTGAAGCCAAAGTACTTTTTCTGAATAATTTCAGTAGCACAGATCGAGTACTGCGAGATTTGGCAGCACTTAAAACACCATGTTCTGTGCCAGTTTGCAATGTGGATTCTCCTCACACACCATCATCTATCACGAAAGCGCCATGTTCACCATATGGAATACCAAATCAGGAAATCAATTCCTACAGTGCTATGTCAGCTTTATTCAAATTTTGATCCAAGTTGCTCGGAATTCTCATTTAAATTTTAATTCGCGATTGAGTCCTGTTTTCTATTTAGTTCAATTTTTTGAACTTTATTTAGTTTCATTTGGTTTATGTTTACTAAAAACTGCATTTCAGTTGCGATATGGAGCTAGTGCTGAGTCAGATTTTAAGCTGTGCTGATAAGAAGGAATGGGTGCCAGAGAGAACCTCGCCAGGGACATCAAAATTGAATTTTTGGCGTAATTCTGGTTTAGTTGCTGGAGTTGCCGGCGTTTCTTGTGACAATGTATAAGCAACTAAAAATGGTATAAAAGACAAGACGATTGCTGCAGCAGTTTTATTTTTTTCAGGGTTAAAAGATTGTCATTAGTTTTTGTAGGTTTTTAAAAAGCTTCGGTCGAAGTCAATAATTTCTGGTTTATTCACTTAAAAGCAATTCTTAATTTTTTCAAACCAAGCTGCTGTTTCTTTTTTAGGCGTAAAATTTAATTGTTTATTAGTGATTGAGTATATATCATCATGTACTCATTCAATTTTTTGTTTTTTGCTTTTGGTATTTTTGCATAAACATGTTCTGTTTATTTGAAATAATTAGGACTGTTGTCATCGTTATGTTTGTTCATTTTTATGAAAATATTTTAAGGAAATTAGGCGATATATATTTTTTACATTTTCGCGTCATTCTTTTCTTTCAGTTCAGGACTCCCCTCCTTTATTTTTGTCAAAATTTTGTTGAACTAATTTTTATCATGCATTATCAAGTTTAAGCCTGGTTTTTTCTAAAAGTTTTTTATTTCGGAACTAGTATCTGTATTTGTCGATATATCCATATCAACCGATATCGATATGGATTTTGGAATTTTCGGAAAGAACATTACATTCTATAGGTTTACTTAGGCTGTTTCTATGTTACTTTTCACAATTTTCGAATTTATAACATCTTTCTTCAGTTCTGATTATCTCTGTTCCTTAATCCACTCCTACCTGTCGTACCATTTATAACAATTCTTTCACTTTTCTGTTATATTATACTCTTCCTTAGTTTGTTAGATTGAATCTATTAGGCTTTTCATATTAGTTTTATGTCTTAATCTAAATCTGTCTCACTTTTTAATACGTTACAGAATATTAATATTAAAAAGAGATTGTGCGCAGTTAGAGAAGGTAATCTTTGATGAATGGTTTACCTTCTATCACAAATAATAATTAAGCCATTTTTGTTTTTAAAGAGCACTTCTATAAAACACTTCGAATACTGCAGTTTGTGTATATTTATTTTCACTTGTTTCTTTTCATTTCCATCCTCACATATTCGAATTTTTCAAAATTTTAGTTTTTTTTTGATTTTTATAATTCTTTTCAGCTCTATTACTTGTTTTACCGCTCTTCGGCATCATTTTCTAAAATAAAACATTCCATTCTTTTTAGTTTAATGTCTTGGCAAACAGCTATGGATTTTTCTTTGGGAATGGGTTTAATTTTTCACTATTTTCTGAAAAAACAAGAAGAATTTGAATGTAAAAGTTTACATTTTTAAATAGATCTCTATGACTTTACAATCTTATTTTACTAGAATTTTATTTTTAAATTACTTTGGATATATATTTTAGGTTTATTTGACCTCCTAATCCATAGTTTTTATACAAATTACTTGATCAATTTCGTTCTTCAAAATATATGCCCATTAAAAATAAGTCAACTCCCTCTCTCAGTGTTTGCTGTTCTTCTGGTTTTTTATATCATCTTTTCCTGAAAGAATCTCGAGAATATTTTAATTTTTCATGCTAATCTAAAAATCACCTAATTTTCTTTTAACAGATAAAAAAGTAAATTTTGAATCTTTATATAAATTCCCAACAGAATTCAACATGCTTCAGAATCCATGTACTCTTGCCAATGTAATTCTCTTTGTCACTGCAGTATTTTTATGTGCATCATTCATGTAACAATATCACAATGTGTACGTTCCAAAAAATACATCATTTCTCTTGCATTCTTCATTCATTCATTCTATTGATTCCTTTTACGGATTTCTTTTCCATCTTCAAAAACTTGCGCACTAGAACATGAAAAAGGCATAAAACATTTCTTAATATATGTTGTTCTACGCAATGTGCTGATATCATAAAATTTCAAATGGTCAATTCAAACTTTTTTCAAGAATTTCTAAATTATAAATGCAAAGACTTTTCAAGAAATATTGCCGGAGATTTCTAGTATCACTCTCTCTATTACAGTTCGATCTGAACTAGAATTACTGTAAAATTCTCGATGATAAATAAGCAAAGAGTCCAAGAGTCGAAACAAGATGCTATGACCTAAAAGTTTAAAAGATTGAAAAAATGTATGAGCGCCTAAAAGAAGATCGTTGGGAAAAATGTGAGGCTTAACTAATTAATAATACGAATGATGGGAATAACCTTTTTTATTCAACGAGTTGCAATCTATCCGGGATGCGTGAGATTGATCAAGATGACCATTAGAGGAAGTGCTCATCTTAAGAGCTATGGGAGATCAATGTTAAAATTTGGAACTTGCTATCAAACAAATATTATACAAATATTATGCATTCGCACGGATATATACCATATTCTAGGCTATAATTGTTCGCTACCATTTCGGCAAGTATTTATACCGTATACCATTCATAGATTAACAGATCTGAATTACTAGTAAAGTACTGAAGTAAAAATTTGCATCATTCACGAGAAAATGATCAAGATTGCTACCTTTGACCCCACCATAATATTCTTCCATTGCACAATGTAATTCTGAACGTTGATCGTTATTTGTACAAATTACTTTCCTTCCTTTGTTGACATTCCCAGTTTTTCTCTCCGGATTTATTTTTCAAAAAAGAAAAAAGACCCATTTGAGAGAGATTGTTCCTTCTATCATCATTTTATATTCATAGTGATTGCAAACATTTAACTTTGTTCTCACTCTAAGGTAAATTAATCCAAATTAAACTCCCTGAAAAAAACGAAATGGCTTTACGGACTTCTCGAAAGTATTGACAAAATGGCCGCTTAAATATCGCTATCAGTGAGAGATAGATTTTCATGGTACCTATTTCAAATTTGTTATACAACTAAATTGCTGAATCTATAATGTGTGGGTGTTAATTTATCTAATTCTAATACTCGATTGCAATTAATATTTATAGAAATGATCGGAAAATGCTTGTTTGTCGAGATATGTGTATATAAGATGATAATATATATACTATAATATAAAACAAAATATTCAACATTTACAGAGAATGACCGATGACATTTCATCATCACCATCATCACGATCGCAATCGTCATCATCACCATCACCACCATCACCATCATCATCACCATCACCATCACTTTTATCACCATCACCACCACCACCACCACTACCACCATCACCACCACCACCACCATACAATTCTCTTCCATTTAATGATGAAATGAAATTAACAAACTTTTCAAAATCCCAACGTTATCCGGAATCAGTAGAAATGTTGCAACAATCACAATATCCATTATCACAATGTTTACGAAAAACTGGCATCCAATCACCAATTAATCCAGCCGTACAATCATCAGTACCAATCGAACCAATTATAATGCCAATTATGATGTCGCAAAGTAATAATCATTTCTTTCATTCAATATTTAAAAATCCTTTCATTTGAACAATTCTTCCGCTCAAATAACAGCCGAAATAGAAGTGATATAATCAGTTTATCAGTTTATATCACTTTAGCTTACTTCTCTACCTTTTCTCTTTTTTTTGGTACTCAATTCGATGATCTTTTAGCAACATCATATCCTTGCCAACAAAAATCCGATAGGCCACTCAATGTTACAATCAATGCTAATGGTAAAACTGAAGGAAATAGTTTTGAAAGAGATTATAGAATATGTAACTTTTGCAAACGTGGAATTATGACAAAGAAGAAGTACATGGCTATTTTACTTTTATTTAATTTGCTACCTTAACTGAAAAAAAGACTGGCAATATTTTGTCGTTTTTTTTTTGTTTTCCCATAACGAAGTTTTGCGAAATATATTCAGATTATTAGTTCTATACAATTATTCTATGTATTAATTCTGTGTATTAATTTTTTTGTTTAAATGCGCTAGTTTCGATTATTATGGATAACTATAGCGACCGCTCTGACTTTCCAGGGATTGGCCAAAGGTCATAGTAATTGCACTTGCGAGTATGCTCTGTCCACCACTTTCATTTTTATGTTGCTTTTTCTTATGCACTCGTGTGATCTACTATGGCGAATGTTCTGCTTGTCATCGCATTTCAAAAAAAGAACACAGGTAAGTACTTTCAATGCTTTCATTTATTAAAAAAAATCTAAATTCCAGGAGGCCGAAGCGTCCATTGAAATCTAAATCTCACTGAATCGTCCTACGCCTTTTTGAAGCTCAGTTCCACTTTGGAATTCAAGTTGGCTATCAACCCTTTTTCTTTTTCCGCAATTTTATTTGATCCAGATTTCAAATCTCTGAGACAAGATATGATGATACAGAGAATCAGATTATATTGAATCCCGTGAATAAATTTTTTCATTCTCCCTAAATTTCCTTTATGTCGGAAGAAAAGTTTGGACAGTTAAGCTATTGCTTATGAAAAATAAATGCTGAAACTTTGTATAGAAGAATCGCTTGCAGGGTATTTTGAACCGGCCCAAAAGAATAATTACTCGGCTTCAGGAAATCCGTAGAAAGCCATCAAATTTCCCTCTGTATTTAGATCAACAGGTTCATTCATGTAGAGTAAAAATGTTGCAAGTGATAGGCAAAATAACGTTCCATAAATTATCTTCACTAAGTTTTATTTGTATATACTTATCGTTACTGTTCTGTAAGTAATCTAAATAAAATTTTTTCATTTTACCTTCATGATTTCCAAAACCTATTTGAGTCAAGCTACTAAATCTCATCAGAAATAGCTTTCATTTTTGCATTCCACAATCCTTTCATGAGAATCATGGTAAAAAATCTAAGTTTTTTTTTAGAAGTAAAAGAGTATGTGGAGTAAAACAATTTCTGCAAAAATTTTAATAACTCAATCAAAAGCAGTTAAACAATCAATTCTGGCGATATTAAATAATCTAAAACAAAAGTATCTCGTTCAACAAAACTTAAAAATCGGATATAAACATCTCGTTTTTACAATGAAACTAATGAATGCAATATTTAACTTTTCAACCTCTATCTTCTGTGGTAATTAGTGGCTTAGATGCCTTATAATCACCCACTCCAAAATACTCAAAAGTGAATGCCAGTTTATTCCGTATCATATAATAAAGTGTTTCTAACAAAATATTTAAACATAAAACACAAAAAATATATATTAACTTCCTTTGAAACGTTTGGAATCAGTTTCGTGTTGTGAATTCGTTGCTGATGTTCTTGGAACTGATGCAGTTCCTGGAAAACTCAAGGGGCCACTAGACGATTCTGCAATACTTCGATGAGCCGGAATCGGAGGAACACTGGATGGTGATGTAAAAGCAGGCTGCTGACTGATCCCTGACGTTGGATCTTCCGTTGCCGCCAAATCTTGATTTGTTACAGATGAATTCTGTACAGATTTCTCAACTGTACCACTAGTTGCAATTGCATCGTTCTCTGATGATATTTCATTTCCACCAAAATTAAATTGCTAAAAAGATTTAGCAGTAGTGGGCGGATAGAACGTTATATTCGATATTTCAAAATCTTCAAATCATCGGATTTGAATTGTGCTTGCAAAATTCCAAAAACTTCACTATAATATAAAGCAATAATAATAGTTCGGAAGACTGGTAATGAATGTCAAAATTGATCAGGACACTAAAATGTGAAACCCATACAACATCATCAGGAGGTGGGAATTTGACAAAAAGTTCTCGTAATATCTGATCTGTTCGAGTTCGTTGATAAAAAGTACTTCGGGTAAGTTGTGGCTTTTCCTCTTCTTCTGTTGCCTGAAACAATAATTTTGAATATGAGATTTTAAACAGCCATGCCACAGGAATAAGTTCTTGGTATTCAATAGCTTACTTTCTTGATAATTTCACCATTAGAGTCTTTGAATTCCCAGTAATATCCCTTAGCAATATTGAATCTGAAAATGCTTCGAAATTCATGACCTGAATAAATGGTGACAGGGTACAATATATAAATTCAAATAATTAATTTTAATATTACTATTTGTGAATAACCACAGGAAAAGCAATAGAAATGATAAAAACTGATACCATGAAATCGATAAAAAAAGTACCTATTGAAATTTTGAGCTTGTTCAAGCGCTTGTCGAAGTGGATCAACAATGCTAATCAATTTTGACTGAACATACGTATAAATATCCGGACATTGATATACCGTCCCGTTTACTATGTAGTAATAAGCAAGAGGTGTAACTTAAAGAATTATTATGGTTAGCATACATTTATTACAACACATTTTTGACTTCAGTAGAATATGCCACTAATCGCGTTATAGCAATGTGGCTTTTGCGCAATATGTATATAATATTAACATTAATCACACGTAATTACCATTTGTAGGACTGTTCCGACGTTGTTTCATTATTACATATAATGGAGGGAATGTGCCAACAACCGTATACTGTATGCCTTGCATAGATCTAAAGAATAAGCAAAATTCAACTTTCTTACTCATTATTTTATATCCACATTTTAAAATTGAAAACAATTATTTATAATGATTTGGTGCAACATATAAAGATCACGAGTCACTACCTACCGGATATCTTAGCTTTCTATATGAAAGTTCATAATACTAACAATCGAACCTCAACGCTTAAGTCTGGCTAGAGTTTTTGGTAGTTCGAACTATCGAAAAGTAAGGCCGTGTCTCCTTCAATTATTTAGTCATTCTGAAACATCGAATTTATAAAAGTCTTATTTTTAAATTGCCCAAATAGACTATGCGTTAGCAAAAAAATAAGCTGCGTGTGTTAAGAATTATGGACATGCTTGGTGTGAGGTCCGTTTTTCCTTACCAAATTGGAAAAGTGAAATAAATTAAAAATCAAGTTTTGCCATTCTATTAAAAATAAAATTTCAGACTTCGACTTACTGTAAACACTCGTGCAAAGGTCGGTTGAGATTTTGCATTCTGATATGTTGATTGCATGAAGAAACATCATAAAAAACGTTTCCCGGATCGCAAAAATAATCCAAAACGTTATCAGGAGTTATGAAATTTGGAGGCCAATTCGGATTTTTGAACGACTGGTGAAGCATGGAAACGGTTTGCTGGTAAGGGGAACTAGATTGAGAAGCGGCATTTGGTACACCCATGTAAGTACCTACTGAATAAAAATGTGCTGGGATATGACACTAATATTAACAAAAAAGTAATTAACTTGGGTAGCACAAGAATTGCATGAAAATCAAAATATAAAATTTCATTTCTTAACTGTTAAAAATAGTATCGTGATCTAAAGATATATACATTACAGAGTTAACCTCTTTTAATTCATTAAAGGTGAGCAGAAAAACGTCTGTTAAAAGCTATCAGAAAGTAGAGGTCTCAGCTTTTTCTCTGTAAGGCAAATATGTCAATCAGACAAAGTAAATGTTGATCTACAGCTTTGCGCGATTTTTATATCCCAGCAATTTATAGTCTTCTGAAGTTTATAACAACAGCCGAACAATGAGGGCAAAATTTTAATGGTACATTCAAAACTCAATATTGTACGGCATCTACTGTGCGTTCTACTTCGAAGGATGGATGATTTAATAAAACTAAAATCATATGATATAATCTATCCTATTGAGCTCGTTAAAATACCTCGAGATTTCTACTATGAATTATTTTAGTTAAGATAAATGAAATATACACTTCAACAATGATTAGATATATCACATACATCTAGTTATTTGAACAGTAAAAGATACAAAGCAGAGTCAAAAAAAGGTTGAAAAACCTATCAGTAAAGCAAAACAATGTAAGAAGCTGAGTATGAAATACCTTGTGACTGTCCCATCATGACAGATCGACCTGGTCCACCTGTCTGCATCATTTTCTTCTCTTTCCTACAATATTATCAGCGTTATTATCAGTGTTGAAAAGCACACCGCACCCAATTCTTTCACACCTTTTCGCCTTCCTGAATTCAGTGGCTCATATGTATACATAATTCAATAAAATGATGCAGGTAAATAACCGATAAGATATTAAACACAAAAAAAAGTTACCATTTATGACCATCAAACATTAACATAATAAAATAAAAGATACTTCGAACTTCAATTATTTGTTATGACACTTTTACGTTCCATTATTATAGCACATCATAACATTCATTTTTGCAGATATTAAAAATAAATCTAATCTGGATGTGTTTTACATTAATAACACTATTTCTTTACTGACTGCTCTATCAATTGCAGTATGGAAATTAATCATAATATACTGATGCAGTGAATGAAATAAAGCACTTGTTACATTGCAAGTGGCTGATTTCTGAAGTTTTCAAAATTTTTGAAAACGACTGCGCCTACAGTTAACAGTCCGGCACTAAATTTAGATAAAACTCAGTTTTCTTTACTATCAGAAATATAGTTAAAATTTTATGGTGAAAGAGTTCAATATCATCAGTCAAAATTTAGCAGTATAATCGAAATTCAAGTAATCACATGGGTCGATTGTTTCATCTTTCCCAAGCAACAAATCCCAGTGTAAATGTGAACTGTGTGATATTCCTGGGGGTGCACGATTTATTCGAGACGCTGTTTTCAGTTCTCTGAAAACAAATGATTTCCAAAAAAATTTTTAATAAAGAGAATGTATAACGCAAACTTCATAAAATAAAATGAAGAAACAAAGTAATGATTTCAATTTCTCTTTCAAAAGTATGAATTAAAAAAAATCTTGAGCACCATACCTTAATAAAATCAAAAAATGTTTAAGCAAAACTACTAAATTATAAAGAGTGTAAGATAATTCTGTGAATCAGTGTGCTATTAAAATAGCTTTGTAAAACATTAAATGATATAAGCTGTTGAGATGTTTATCAGAGTAGCTCCCACTGCTGAATCCTGTAGAAGTCAAAAAAAAATCTCAAGAAGGCTTATATATCACTTACCTTACAAAATGCTCAGCATATGCATTTCCACCAACTATACGACGTTCATCGACAACATCTGCAACAGTTTTGCGCATTCGCGAATGTTCGCTTAACAGTTCATGATCGTTCCGGTTTGTCACCGAATCTGCAAAATAAAATATGCACATATTTCCTACATGAGCCTGTCTATAACCATTCATTTATACTAACAAGACATAAAACTTTCAATCCTTCCCGATCCATGACAAATATAGAACTTTGTTCCTGCAAAAGCTACATTAACCGATAGATTGTCTGAAAACTTATCTGGAATTTGTCCAGTGCTGCTGTCTATTTTTTACCCCTACATAGGACAACAATCAAGTGGAAAAAGTCAGGAAAAAAGAAAAGAGAACGGCTTCAAAGTTTTGATAGTTACACCTAACATTAAATAAAAAATATTGAATGGATCTTCTCCTTGATCAAACAATAAGCATTAATAATTTTCGAATACTACTGGTAGATATATGACTAAATGAGATCAATAGTACAGAAATTGATGAAAAAATTGAAGGAAAACTGCAAGACAGTTGGAAATATACTTTTTACTCGCTAAAATAACTATAAAACTATAATTCTATTATTTTTTCGACTCAGATTCTTTTCATTAGAACTAGAAAAAGTTTTTACAATTATATCTTAGGCCTGGTAAAAAAGTAATGTTTCGTAGCACTAGTAAATCTATTTCCAATCACACCATATTTTTGTCAGTTTTAAAACATCTAATTTAACGCATAATTAATCAACGAATGACATTATTTTGACATTATTTCGGAGCTGCCAATTCGTTGATGTCTGCAAAGAATTATTTACGAAAGCAGCAAATAAAGAGAACAAGTACGAAATAAACATCTTTCGACAACAAAAAAGTTAGAAATTTTCAAAACTAACGTTTAGGTGCTTCCAAATCTTTTTTATACACAACTGCAGTCTCATTCATTGGTTTCGTGTCATTAAGTGGAAGCAAATGCTTTGAACTATCAATCATTAGCAGATCTGGTTGCACTTTTGATAATGAATCTACTGACATCTTCAATCTAAAAAAGTGACAAACTTGACTTTACTTGTAGCCGTAAATACTTTATTCATCGCTGAGCACAAATTGTTGCAAGGTTGAAGAGAGAATTTAACTCAGGGCATTACAGCATAAAATGATGCTGCTTGGAACTACACTATTCTTCATGAAATAGTAACTGAATAATGCTATGAGTAGCATTTCAACTGGAGAAGCTCTAAAAGATTAGAAAAATCAAATAAAAAAAAAAGAATAAAATGTATATATAGAGTACAAGAAATCCAAACAGAAATCCCTTAAACACTATTATTTGTGACATATTAACAACATTCCAAAAACACAGCCATATGAAACAAGATAGAGTGATCAGTATGCACATAATAAACCAGAAAGGTAAGAATTAAGGTGATCTTTAAATGAACGTACGGAGCGCTGGTTTGCAAAAATGTGGAATTCAGTGTGACCTTTTTCTTCCGTCTTCATAAGGATAACTTCCTACGGATTATATTAGCTTACACACACGCACACTTATTCAAGAATACACTTCACCTGTAACTTTCAAAAGAAAAGGAGAAGAAAGAAAGAAAGGAAAGGAAGAAAAGGTCCATTATAATAATGAATTATTATTTGCAAATCCGTTATCAACATATAAAACAGTAATGAATTAATCTTCTGCATGAAATGAGAAACGCTTCAACCAAAAATATGTTACAATACGACACGCAAATAAAGTGAGCGCAGCTATGAAATCTGGGAGTGAAAAAAGAGATAAATTGGAACAATGAAAAAAACACAGTGCCTATCATTTGCTACAGTCTAATTAAACGCTTTAATTAAATAGAAAGTAATAAGATCCTTTGTGGCCAAATGAATTAACTCGCCTCTTTCAATTAATAACTTCCACTCCTACAACGCCGATGCAAACTAAACAAACGAAATATACGTGAGACTTCATTTTTCCTCGCGACCAAACATGTACTTTAAAATTTCTTTGGAAGACAATGATAGCATTAGTTCACTAGTCGTGAAAATTTTAATCCCATCCATTAAATTGCGATGTTTGAATTGTCTCTCTTTGGGTGTATGTGATTTTCTTTCTTTGTTTATAGTGTTTTAATATTTCCCTCGCATACTTTCTGTTTCAGTGAAAAGTCAAATCAAAAGAACTGACATTTTTGATATCTAATTCAATGACATTTTTCGTTGTGATTATGATGTAATTAACGATTATCGAGCATTACAAGCAAAAGATGACTGTTTTTCTCATAAAGCTTATCCTATGCTTCGTTTTGGCTTGTTGATGTGGATATGTTGATTTTTGTTCTTGCCAGTTGGTTTTTATTTTTTTAGGTTTTTTGTTGTTTTTATATTGTACTTACTCTGTTTAATTTTTTGATTAATATTTTGAAAAGACATAGGTTTTTAGTGATTTTGTTGTTTTCTATTATTTGGTTCTGATTTATTTACTTTATATGGGATGTGCAAGTTTAGTTATTCGAGTGTTTTGATTTGTATCATTGATTCCGTAGTTTTGAATTTTAGTCAGTAGGGGTTTCAGTCCATTGTTTTTTAGTTCATTGTTTTTCTTGTTATTTTTTAGATGTGTGATTATAATTTCCGTTGTTTACCCATGGGCTTGTGTAGATTTTTTGTCCTTCACTAGTTTTTTTTGAAATAGTATATTTTAAGGTGATTGTTTTCGAAGTTGGGTTTTTAGGTTGGTTATGTGTTTTTTCTCATTGGTTAACTTTCAAAGGATTTCATACCAAAGTTAATGTAAATAACAGTGGCAGTGATTCATGCATCGTTCAAAAAATTTTGATTTCGTTGCGCAGCAGTATTTTTTGCATATCATTTTTGCATATTTCAGTAATGCCAAAAGTAAAAGTAATACTTTTTGGTCAATTCAGATACGCGTAATGTAAGTATTTTGAATTTCATGATTCAGTGCTAGAATTTGAAAAAACGGTGGACAGAATGTTTTTAATTCAATCCACTTCATCATTCCTCCTTATTTTGTTGTAAATTCTCAAAATAAAGAGAAAGGAATATTATCATTTTGAAGTGAATTTATGCAAAAATAATAAGTGAAAGCGATAGTGTGGACTCAAAAATAACAGCGCCAATATAATATATGTTTTTCAAGTTTGAAGATCAAATATAAATTGTACGATATACAAATCTGAACTGAAAAATACCATAATCTGTACAGCGCGAAAATGACATTTTCCATCATTAACATAAAATTTCGAATTATGTACCAATATCTATATTTCTTGACATACAATAAGTAATGTTTGCTTCAATTTATGTTCAACTGAGTTGTGCTTGTAATTCATCATCCCAATCATACAATTCATCCATCTTCACACCGTAATTTTTCATTGCTAGTTGGAGCATTTGTGTTAAAAACTTGTGATCCGGTTGGCTATGGTATGTTAAAGAATCGATGTAATTCAGGATACGGCGGAATTCAACCTACAAAATTATTTTGACTGTTAGTTTTCTCGATAATATAATTTTGATAAGAATTTGCTGGTTGAAAGAGATTATGCAGCAGTTGACACATATAATTTTCTTCAATGAATTAATGGTAAATGTTTGGTAAATAAAGAATTGGAAAGAATTGAATTAATGAATTTAATTGTATATAAATTAAAGTGTAAAATAAAAATGTTGGATGGAAATAAATAACAATAATTATCCTTCGTCAAATTTCTAGTAATTAAGGTTTTAAAGATTTTTTCACCTTAGGGCAGTCTTTGAGAAGTATTTTAAGTTCATCCGGTGAGCGGTACTGCTCCTTCTTACGCTCTATTTCTTTACGATCCGTTCGATGAATGTTACCCCATGGAAGTTCACCTGAAATATTACAGTTGAATAAAGTAGATGTTTCGTATATTTAGTTTGCAGTGCAATTTGATTTTTTTTTGTTGTCGTAGAAAGAGTGACACTTTAACAAGCTTTTCTATGTTTATTGTTCTAATTTGCACACCAGAAATCATTTCAATAAGCATATAGAACCAGGATTCAAGATCATCTTTTGGTGATATTTCTTCTTGTCGATGTGCTGCCAATGATGCATAACGTGCAGTTCCTCTGCAAACTATTAAAATTCTTATTGCAAACTAAAACTAAAAATTTCAAGAATGAAAAGAATTTTGAACTGATTCATTTTAATCAAGCATTCTTCTATCATTCTCTTCATGTAAATATAAAATAATTTTCAAACTTAGAAATTCTTATTGTATTTCTATAAAAAAACTTGAATTTCACAAAAAATTGAGAAACTTGACCTGAATGAAGTTTTATTCCTAGGTGGTTTAATTCCATCCTTGGGATTTCGATACATTCGACAAAGTCCAAAATCAATTATATACACATTCATTTTTGATTCAGAAGGGTCACAAATTGCGAAATTTGACGCCTAGGATTTTTGAAAATAAGTTGCTTTAAAAGCATCAATTTTTCGTTTAAAGCAATTCAATATCTTAAATCTCTAAATTTAAAAAAAGTCATCTTAAATTTCCAAACTTAAAATTTAATTCTAAAATTAATTCGATGAAGTTTTTATTCGAGGAACATGGAAGCAATTTTAATTTTCTTTAAGGAAAATGCAATATATTTGTCAAAATATTTCAATACATAAAATTTTTCTAAAGTTTTAAATTTTACTGAGTTATGCTGTGCAATGATAGCTCTAAATAACTGAACATAGTAAACATATAAAAGACCAGGAAAGAACGAACTTTGACATCCCTATGGACAAATCCCATTGAATGTAATTCCTCCAATGCAACTAATGTTTGAATTCCAAGTCGAAGAGAAGTTGACAACGAAAAACGACATTCAACAAATGCTTGTCGTAATTTATGCAAATTATCACCGAGCTAAGTATCATAACTTTTGATAGAGAATTCACAAATGAGGAAGATCGGTATGTAATTTTTATGGCTTACAATTGACCATTTAAGCTAATCAAAAAAAAAGGAAAATTAAATATTAAAAAAACCAAAAAATACTAATTTGAAATCAATTAAATCTACCTAATTTACTTAACATAAATTGAATATTTGCATATGTCCATTATATCTAAAAATTATAGCTATTTAGAATAAACAGAATATTTTTAGCAAATGACCATTTTCATGATGATGAATTTGAAATGTCCTTCGATTTTACCCTGATCGATTAGAGTTGCAATGTGTTCACATGACATTTTTGAAGCTTGTAGTAAGACAATATAATCCATATCCAATCCATGGGAATGTTTATCACATATTTCTAACTTTGCTGAGAAACGTTTTCCATCTGTACGCCTTAGTACCTACAAAAGAAATTCTGTATTGTATAAAAGTTTATTTAACATATTATTATGAAGTTTTCAAAGTCTTAAAAAAATTCAACCAATCCATGGGTGTGTTTATCACATTATTTTAATAAACTTAACAATTAATTCAAAAATTTTAATTCCTTAGAATCTTTTTTTAATTACACCAATAATTATAAAATGAACAATTCAAATTTCACATTTACCTCATATACCGCACCAAATCGTCCCTGGGAAATTAATCGACCAATTGCGAATTCAAAATTCTTCCCTTTGATTAAAACATTTTTGTCAGGTAATTGATTTGAAATATAACTCTGATCATTGTCACAACTACCCTCACATGAATCAACACTCATCGAATTCATTCTACAGTAATTGTGATAATTATGATACGAAATTAAAATAAAAACTAATATATATATGAATAGATGTCGCAAGAATGGCTTTAAAGTTTGTAAAAAAACAAACAAAAAAACCAATTATAAAATGAGAAAATATCTTAAGAAATAGTAAGTAACTTAAGAATGATAAATATTTCAGTATTAAAATTAATGAGTTTTTTCACATCTTAAAAAGACAAAGAGTTTGGCCTTATTCTTAACCAAATAAGCCTTTGAAATATATATTTTGAAATCAAATTTGAATCTGACACTTTCAGAATCTATTTCTCTTACAAACTACA